AAATTGTCATATATGTCTAATGGGGAGTAGTATTTGTCAAATTAGTGCTGAAGTTTATCTACATATTTCAGGGGTGTTGGAACTAGATGATCTTAAGGTCTTTTCCAACCCCAAACATTCTATGATTCTATCACTCCTACAACAAGTACTCTTCTCCAATGCTGTTTCCACGTTTCTCAAAGGCTGTGCTGTTAAGTTCTTGGCACCTTTAATACACAAACCAACCTTCCACATTTTATTATTTTAAAAGTATATAGAGAATTTTCCAGCGATTAAAAACCAGAGCCATACACAACTACATAGCTTTATTCTGCACCTCTACTTGATCCCAACATCCCCATTTCAGACCTGGGGGTAAGCACTGCTATTCCTGCAGCCCACCCCTGCCCATCCACCAAGAACAGTGGTACAAACCAGCTTGTCTGTGGGAAACCAGCCCAGCTTCACACGTGTGGAGGCACACCAACGTGCAGGAGCAACCATCTCTCTCCGTTGACTTTGAAAAGGCATTTGCCACTTAAATAGACCCAGAATACACTCACATACAAGGGGATGGCCAAACTGTTACTGTAAAGCTCCTGCTTCCCTGTCTCATTCCCCATTCTTCCCCCCACATTTTTGGATCAAGGCCTTTTTCCATCGCAGATGCAGCATAAGCACAGCAGTTTGCTGGTTTCAAAAAGAGTGCCTTGCAGGACTGTGGACTGAGACATACGCTATTTAGGGAAAAACTTGTGTCATGCACTAAACACAGCACTTGGGGTGCTTCAGGAACTTTCAGCTCCCTCCCTGGCAGAGCTCAGCCCCTGGGAAGCTCAGACTCACATGCCATCCCACAAGCAGTCCTGCTGCAGTTAATGCTATCCTTCCCTCCTCACTGGCACGTACCTCATAGTGGTTTTCAGGGTGCTGCAAAGTATTTGGAAGGATATGGCTGAATTCAAGGCATCAAGCTGCAGAATTCTGAGCTTAGCCTTTGATTGCAACAAGGAAGATCCACATTAAAGTTATGCTCAGGAACAGATAACCATATCCCCTGCTGGTTTATTAAGCACATGATTTTTCTTCAACACATCGCAGCTATCTGTACCATCATTCATCTCTGCAAGGATACTGTGAGTTCCTCTCTGGCTTCTCTTCAAAGCAAAGTACAGTCTTAGGCTGTAATGAAAGCCCTGCTTGGGTGACACCTGCCCTATGTAAGAATTAGGCATTTCTTACTTTTTTGTTAACAAACAAGAAGATTTCTATGAAGTCATTCTGTACATGAACAGAAATCTATTTGCCACTCCAGAAGACAACACTGACAAAAATATCTGTCCTGAGAACTTGCCCCCACTGCAGAAACTGCAGTCAGGGCTATGCTAAGTTGAAGCCCTTTAAGATGTTCTTATCCCTGGGTTTTCATATGTATCAAGGGACATAACTTAGAAGGCTTCTCTTTGGGTTTTTCTCAGCATAAACAGAAGAAATAAGGTCTTGAGTATGGCTTAGGATTCCCGGGAGTCCATCCTCAATAGGACACTAGGGATGCTGCCTGACTTGCTGGTCAATTTCTTCTTTGGCTTATCATACTGGCTTGGGTTTACTTGACTTCAATGCTTTACTATCCACACTATGCTTCAATCAAACTACTAACATACCACAGGCTGGCTACTTATCAGTAAAACAGAAGGTCCAAATATATAAGTCCGATCCCCAGAGTTCCTGAACCAAAGGGAAACCCCAAATCCACATTATTCAGACTGCCATTGAGAAAATTCCTAGGCAATCTTCCTTCACAACTACCAGAATTTCTTGCTAACACTGGAAACGTCATCTCTGTGCCTGCTAATCAGCTAGAGTCCCCAGTCAATGAAGCATAGCTGAGGTTAGAGGAGGGCAATTTCTGTTAGACATTACTAACCACTTGTAGTACCCAAGAGTACCCAAGTACTTGGTGGAGATTAGAGAACTTTAGGAAAAGCAATCATTCAAGAAGCCTTGAGAAATTTCTCAGGCCTCCATCTCTCCCTGATCCCTTTCAATCACATCACTAAATTTAATGCCATGGTGGCTGCACCTTGTGGAACTTGCCCAATGATGCATGTGACAGACACTTGCTGCACCACACACACCTCCCAACTCTGTATCAGCTGGCATGGATATTGCTACATCAAGTACAAGAAACAATGCTGTTAATAAGAAATATTTCTAATAATGAATAAACTACGTAGAACAACTGCAGTTAGAGGAATCAGAAAATATCAGCCAAACACATAATAAACAAGTATCAATCTCATCTTGCTCTAACAGTCAGGCTTCCCTTTGGTATTTTGATTCATTTGACTAATATCACTCACCACATTTTAAAAACCAAACCAAATTACCCAGGGACAAATGAAGCACCGCAATAACTGACAGCCAGGTAACCCTGCACACCCCACTGTGTACAAACCAACCTGCCTGGATAGAGGTGCAATTTCCTAAAAAAAAAAGTAAGAAATCATTTAATTTTTTCTTATTTAACTCCCTGCACAAGAATACCAGTGTAAATACACATAACCACCTCCTTCAGGACCACATCCCATGCTCGGGATATTGCACCACCACACACCAAGGATACTGTATTGCTTTAACTGCTACAGTTAGACAGAGACCTTTGTTACAGCTCTACCATTTCTGGTCCAACGCAGTGAAGCCCGAGCGCTCGCTCCAGCACCAGCGGCAATTCAGGGCCGGACCGCGTGCAGGGGCGAGCCGGGCCGCCGGTGACTCCCCGCCCGGCGCTTGCTGTCCGGCCCCGGCACCGCTTTGTCTGGAGGGCTCCGATGGAGCAGGGCGATGAGGACAGCGGCCGATTCTTCCCCACGCAAGGGGCTGCCAACCGGCCCCGATGGCCGGCTCCGCTCTGCCCAGCCCCGGCGGCAGCAACGCCCGGCAGAACCCTGCCCTCCGCCCGGGCGTGCCAGGGCAATGGCGTCAGGAACAACCTGTCAGCGCCTGCCTGCCCCCCTCCCGCACTCCTCCTCCTCTCCCCAGCCTCGGACCGCGGCCGCGCAGCGCAGGCAGATGCGGCTCCCGCCCGCCTTCCGCTGAGCCCCGCGCATCCCGCAAAGACCCCCGGGAGTGCGGGCCCCGCCGCCGCCCCGAGGCGGGAGGGAGCGGGGTTCGCACCGCCCGTCCCCCGCAACGCAGGCGGCGGCCGTAAGAGGAGCGAGGCCCCAGGCCCGCGGTCAGCGCCGAGCGGAGCGGCTCACCCGCTCCGGTGCTTGCTGTCCATCCGCTTCTTCTGCCGGACCGGCTGCAGCGGGATGTTGTCGGTCATGGCCGCGGCTGCCGGGGCGGAGCGGGGAGGGATGCGCTTTCCAGCAGCGCCTCGGCCCGGCCCGCCGCCGTCTGGCGGCTCCGCCGAGGGGGCCGGGCTCGGCGCCGCCGGGTCCCAGCACGCAGGTGCCGCCCCACCGCGCTCCGCCCCCGGTCCGGTTCGCTTCTGATCCCCGGCACCAGCGCGCATCTCCCAGCTCCGTCTGCAACACCTAGAGAGCCCAACACAGCCCCGCAAGGTCCGGCACCTGCTCTGTCTTTAAGCCCGCACCCGCCGCCCGCCTCTGGCTCCATTCTGCCCCTATCCCTCCGTGCCCCGTCTCAATTTCCCATCCTGGTCGCGCCTGGGTTTCACCTCAGGCGAACGGCCACGCAACATCCCGCGTGTCCTCATCCTTTTGCAGCCAGCACAGAGACGCAAATTCATCCCTCTTCTTTAGAGAATTCTTCAACCTACGTTTCAGGGCGGTGCTTTATGGTGCTGCTGCCTGCACCCTTCTTGCATGGTGACCTTCATCTGCTCCTGGCAACATGCGTTTCTGGATCCTCATTCAGATTTCATCTGCAAGTTTAGGTGCAAATTGCTACAGCATTTCTGCTCTTTTTATGACTTCAAGCTCTTCTTTACAATCACAGTAGCTAAGTCTTCATTAAAACTAAGTATGCAGATTAGATTCAAAAAGGCACTGGGCTACAGAAGCTGAAACACATGCTTGGCTGATGATCTTTGTATTTTATCAGGCAGGGTTCCTGAAAGCTACCAGTCCATCCCACCAGTTGCTTTGTATTTCTGTCCCAGCTAAACTCTGCTTAATGTGGTTTTGACACCTGTTCTGCCTCCTCCATCCATTCATCTTGCTGCACTCCAGCTCCTCCACTTCCACTCCATTTTCCTCCTGCCATCTCCATATCTTCATCTTCTTCTTGTCCATAAATGAGAAAGCAAAGGAATCCTTTAAGAAAAGGAACCCAGCTCGCCTGCAGCCCATTCAGGCTGTTGGCTTTATTCTTCATTCAAACAGGAAAAACAAAATTTCCAGCAGTAAAGATGTATTTCATAGGGAGAAATAGAACCAGGCACTGCAATCATCCTATTCAAATGAATTACGCTTTCCTAGTGATGCTACCATGAAAAGAAGACAAATACTGATATAACACAGCCTTCTTAAAATGTGGAACGTTAAATTGCATCCAGAAAACAGCAAGTAGGAAAGTCTAACAGGATTGATGGTATCTAGACAGCCACCAGAAATTGTGCTGATAGGCTGGTGAAAGCATGGTTAAAGTCAATGGGGAAAACCACCAAGTGATAGCAAAAATGTCAGTAATAAGGAAAAAAAATGCTTCAGATTGTGTAAATAAGTGAGGCAATGGCCCTGTGTCAGAGTCACAGCTGGCTGATGGGGATCCAGCCCCCACCCCTTTCAAATCACTTCCTCCCATTCACTGCTCCTCTCTAACGCTTTCCGCTTTGTGTGCCTGTGCTCTAAATCAGCCCTGCAGAAGGTCTGCTTTTACAAAAACCATCTGCCTGGGAGGGGTCCTTTATTTATTTATTTCAGTCAAACCCCATTAGGCGCTGGATACCGAGCGTAGCCTGCAAACAGCAGGCAGCGCCAGCCAGAGTGCTGCAGCCTCAGAAGGACATGGGCTGGGATTTGCCTCAAGGAGAATCGTAACATCATGTTGGACATGTTCTATAAACAAAGCCAATGCTTGCACTGTCCCCCAGGCTGCTGTGAGCAGGTGCCCATGGGTGCTGGCAAGGCTACTGTTTTAGTAAAAGTGCCTCTACCTGCCCCTGTAGAGTGTTAGCCATGGGCATCGCCCATCTCAGTTTGCTCCCACTACCTGTGTAGCCACACCAGTGAGGGCAAACCTGTTGTAGGCTGTCATTCGTGCCAGCATAGCTTCTTCCTGCTTGAAAACACCAAAATTTACACTGGTGCACCTATACAGATGGAGGAAATGCCCACTGCAGATAAAGATCATATGAAATAGTCAGATCTACACATCCCTCTCAGCATCTCACGGTGTGGTCCTGGTCACCACAAAGCCTGAATATGTCTTGTGCACGGCCAGTTTATCTCTCACCCGTTTGCAGACAGTCTGCAAAATCCTTCATTTAACAAATAACTTGCTTGGAAATGTTCACTAAGCAAAGACTCACCATGCCTACATACACATGCAGCCGTATTTAGACCACCTACAACGAGTGTCTTAGTTGTTATAGTTACTCCCTAAGGCTGCCTGCAGTCCTGGACTGCCAGATATTGTCCACCTGCACAGCCAATCTAAATGGCTCACGGTTCTGCAGAACTAAATACCACAATCACAATGGCCAGGAGCAGGAAATGAGTGGGTAAACCCAAATGAAAGTTCAAAATCACCATTTGTTTTAACGTACTAGAAAGTAGCATTTACGAAGTTGACTGGCTTGGGTAGGGGGGTTTGTTGTTTGTTTTGGTGTTCAGCTGTTCTGGGGTTTTATAGGATAAGGGATGTTTGTGTATATCTTAAAATGAGCTCAAGGTAATCCTAAATAATAGTACTTTTCCCATGAAAAATGAAGGCTATTAAAAAATGAAAACATGTAAGCAAAGCAGAGTGGGTCACAGCAGAGTTCCTGGGTAGCTCTCTTCTCTCCTGCCCTCGCTGTGTTCTAGCTCAGGTTACACTATAGGTTACAACCAGCACCAAACCTGCAGATGTCATTTCTTTTCTTCACAGTTGAAGCAGAGTCATCCTGGCATTTTGTAATGAGGACATTTCAGCTATGTCATTAACAGTTACACCAGTTTCAGGCACCAGCAGTGACAATGTTTAGGTTGGTATTTTCAATGCCATTCTAAGGCAGTCTTAGTACAAAAACTGTTTGTAGAACTGACATTTAAGCTGTATTCCGATTTAGTAATATGATGTTTTAATATCTTACTTCTCACTCAACTGTTCTTATCCACTCATGGGGACAACTGAAGTAGAAATAAAAATCCCTTCTCCTTCCACAAACATTTCAGCTCATGAAATGTATTTCCTCCCATTTTTTCTCATACTCAACTGCAGGTATATTCTGTTAATGAGAGAAAAAAATATGACAGCATTCACTTCAAATGATATAAATAAACGGAGCAACTGAAGATCCTAAACAGGATGTTGCACTTGACCTAAACTGTAACACCATTGCCACAAAACCACTGGCCTAATGCTGTAACTGGCTGAAATGATAAACTCAGACTCCAGCCTTGAGGCTCAGTCTGTAATTAAAACTTGTCAAATGTCATTGTTACTTGCTTTGAGGAGGAAGTACCACTGGATTTCAAACAACATTCTTCGAAGCACCACATTTTGGACCTTGATATCTTTATGTTTCAGACAGAAATAGATGACATCTCTCCTTTATATGGAGCAGCTAAACTTCCTGCACATCATTTCTACACATTGCTCAACTCTGCCTTCCCAGAACACGGGAGGAAAAGCAGCTGACTGTCATATGGTGGCTCTCAATTCCAGTAATCCTAGAAGAAGAGCAAAGGGATGCACAGGCAGGTTTACATTTATCTGCATAATCAGGGATAATGAACTTGGCAAACAGTGACAGAAATCAAGCGACAGCGATACTGCAGCCTGCAGCTTCTGAGGACTCAAACAAACTTTCAAAGCCTCCCTTAGGGGCACCCTGATTCTCTGCCTTGTATTGTAATGCTTTTGATTTTCAGTTAAAAGATCACTGTGAAAGATCTAGACTAGGCTGTAGCCCAGTGGGATAAACCCCTCCTTGACATACTTCTTGCATAGCATTAGCTTTGCTGTAAACATTTTACACATGATCTCACCCTTCACAGTAGGTATGCACTCTCCTGAGTTCCAAGCCTTTGATTTTCATTTGCCTGTTGAGAAGGAGTGCCCAAAAGAAAACTTCCAGCCTCAGTCTGAGAAGTTAGATTTGTTAAATCAAGTGAAATAAAACCTATTTTGTTTTTTTTTCTGATGCTACTGGCTTGTTTTCTGATGCTCAAGTTTTGCAAGAACAGAACTTCAGGCTCACAAAGGAGCCCTGCAAGCTCCGGAATTTACACTGTACAACTGCTAATTAAAAAAAGCTGATTTATTTTCCATAATTTTCAATCATTATCTATGGTGGTGCTTTTTTTCTCCCAGGACTTCTTTTGCACAGAGGATTAAATTAACACCACAGCAAGCAGAGTTTTATTCTCCTCGCTGCACCCCCTTCCTCCTTCCCCAGTGATTTGTCATAGAACCAATTCTGGATCACTTGGCTTCCTCTGAGTCTGTCCTGTAGGGAGAGTTTATCAAAGCTGTCAGTGTTTTCATCACTGAACATTATAGATCTAATTTCAAACCCAGAAATCATTTATTGGCGAGTCCAAAGTTGAGCCCCCATTTTCTATGCGAGGGATTATACAGAACTATCATGTTGTTGACTGGAATGATTTAGTATCTTTTCCCAGAGCAGGCAGCACAAGCACACTTGTTCTGCAAGTAGGATTATGTTTTATGCATTGAATAGTCATGAGTCTCTCGTGGTCTGCCATTCAAGTTTGCAAAGAAAAGTCGAAGTTCAATCTGGCAAAGCACAGCCTATGGACACAACTGGCTGGCAGAGTGTGCCTAAATCAAACCAGACATTTCTATATCCATGAGCCTGTACTATAGTGGTTCCCAGTGTTTTGGAAGTGAGCCTTTCTGCCTTATCTTTTTTGCCCTTCTCCCCCACTTCTCATTTCATCTCTGTGTTACAGAGCCACGCCACTCCCTTGTCCTCTTGGCTTTGCATCCTCTTCTCTGGCCGTGACACCAGCTTCTCACCTACAGGCAATGCCTTCCAATATGTTTCACTGATCTTCAAATACATCCAGGTCTCTAAGCTCCACTGGTTAAAGAACATGTAAATAAACTGGATTTTGGGGGTGTGCCTATATTCCTCCAAGGCACAAGTGCTAGTGCCAGCTTCTCACTGAAACAATGGAAGGTGGTTTTGACAATGCACTTGCAAATTGTACTTATCGCCTATTCAGCACAATATGCTATAAATTTTCTTCCATTTCAGTTGTGCTACTAAACAAATGATGTTTGTTTACACATAGGACTCCAGTGTTTCTGCCTGAGGAACACTGTAGAAGGTCATAATAATAACATCCTGCTTGACTTTTTATATGCTGGAAGATTAATTACATTTTGGAACTACATTTGATTTTGCTCACTTTGTAAACAAGGAAATATGAGTATCAAATTATAGATAATTCTGATATCTAAGGAGATGGCTCAGACTACAGGTGTGTAACTGGTTGCACAAAATGTTTATGATTCCACAGGCAATTGAAGTTGTGACATCAATTTTTGTCCCTGTCATCTGATTTCGTAAGTGCATGTTTTACAAATACCATGGTGCACCTTCTTTGAAAACATAGCCCATTACACATGGTGTTTTGTGTTTTGTTTCAGAGCTGTATGTGCAGCTGCACCATGCATAAGGAAGACAGCAGGCAGGAGTAGGGATTTGGTTGCTAAGGACTTGAAAACTTGCAGTCCTGCAGTAGCTGTGCAGCAGGCAGCCTTGTACGCGGTGTTATTTCCCCATGCTACTGACTCATTCCCACAAATGACAAGGAAAGAGGCGAGTTTGGTGTGGTGAAAAGTCACTGTTACCCTCTTTCTCAAGGCAGTACTGAAAACAGGCTCAGACTGTGACATTCAGTCCCTTGAAATGGGAGCAAATGTGCCAAAGCTGCCCATTCCAAAGGCTTAGCAGCTGCACGCACAGAGTCATTGCATTTTAGTAAGAGAAGCACAAACATGAGCTGGGATGCTGAAGCAGGAATCATTAACAATATGGTATCATTGTACATGTGCCCTGAGCCTACACAATGCACATTTGTCTTTTAAATTTATCTTTTAAATGTCTGAACTCAGACAAGACTACTGCAATTAACTGGCAAGTTAAACACTACCAGATTAGAATGCACTGTTAACACCTGCATCTCTGATCTGCACGGATGGCTTTGATATTATTTTCTCTTTTGACAAGTGGGCGATAGCGGATATCCTTTAAGCCTATATTTAATGAAGTCCTCCATAAATCCATCAACACTTGCTAAGGGAAACTACAATAAAGCTCATACTGCCATAGGCTCTGTTATTGAGAGAACATTTGGCGTTCTCATAATGAAGTTTCAGAGCAGATACTTCTCACGCTGATCTGAGGAAGTGCAGTATTTGTACAGGATCTTTTTCTTCCTCGCACAATTATGTGTTGCGGATCAAGAAGAAAACAACCCTTCAGTACCTAATTTTCCAAGCAATAATAGCCAAACTCATACATCTAGGACAGCTGTCAAATATAAGAAATTCAGAAAGAAAAAGGTGCTGTTTTCAAGAGAAATAAATTCACATTTTTATTTTGTTAGCTCTGGTTTTGTTAGTGATTCTGCTATTAGCTGTAGCTGTTTTGTGAATTCTCACTATGGTGTTTTTCTGTTACATCCTGTAGGTGTGATAAAAAAAATGTAAAGCTATAAAATGAGAATAAGTTGGTATTTGTTACATATTTTATATTTGCAAATTTTAGCAACACCCCCTGCACACAGAAAGTGATTATTTTGTCAGTTCATTCTGAAAGAATTTATAGGGGAACACAGGAATAGGTAATGAGGAAATCTGATTTTTTTCCAGATCTGGACATCATGAGTTGAGAGAGGTGGAGTACTTTTAATACATACAGTGATTTAGGTACTACAAAGCAGTAAACCACTTGAATGTGTACTGCACTTCAAGGACTTAAGTAATCAAATTGGCTTCATGGGAACAACTAGTGTATTAACAAACAAACCAACAGCATATAAAAAACTAATAAATTAAAAATGTTTGGCATTTTGAATATCGAGACTGCATGGAGACAAATTTTTCTATAGGACTGTAAAGGGCTGTTAAACCAATTCAGTTAACTTGATTTAGAAGTATCCTATCATCGCATACTATTGAGTATCCAGGTAGATAATATGCATAAAAGGTTGCAGGACAGATTCTGCATTACTACATTAAGAATACAGGTTATTTGTTGAGTGATTATTTATTCCATATATTCCTCCTGCATCCCCTTTCTGTCTGCAACATCCCATGTGGCCCTCACATTCTCATGGTTTCACAGACTGGGTGCTCTGACTTTCGGTCAGCTCACACTTTGGTTTGAGGTGATGCTTTTGGGTTTTTTTTAATTGGTTTTGTTTGGGTTTCTGCTGTTGTGGAGTTTTTTATTTGAATGTTTAAATGAGCTGATTGATTTAATAATGATCTAATAAAGATTATTAACTCATTATTAATAAAATGGTATCTTATTTATGCTTTGAATCATATTTGCTCCTAAACACGTAAGCAAAAGCATCGGAACATCCCTGCACAACAAATTGTTTTTAAAACGGCTTTGTTCGTGCAATGTATCCTGTTTAACCAGACTGAGAAGGAACCCAAGAGGATTCCTGACCTACTGTGAGTGCTCAGGTGTGGTATCTGCCCACCAAAGCCAGTCCGGCATCAGAGAGGAGCTGGGGAATACCTCCCTGCAGCATACAGGCTTCAGCTTCTTCAGCTTTTCCGCTTCTGCTCCAGCATTCTCCTAGTGACCATCAGTTTGACAGCATATTTCAGCAGGGTTTCTTCATGCTTCCAAGCCTAGAGAAGCTGTGACCACACTCCAGTGTAAAGACATTCAAACACTGCAAGAGTGGATCTGTATTCCTGTCCCTGCACCAATTCCCATTGCTGCTTGAGGTTGTGGTCTTTATATTTCACCCTGTTCTTCCCTTTTGCTCTTGTAGTTCTAGGCATTGTGTTGACATTATGGACACGCTTTTCCTCCGTGTATATAGAGTCTATGTTTGACTAAATATATATATATAAATATATATCAAACAGCACTGGGTATTGTGAATTTCACTTGATTTGGGCTTTTTTTTTTTTTTTAGCTTTCTTTAAAGACACTTTTACACAAATCTTCAGTAATGTCTGAATTTTGCTTAAACTAAGTAGGGGAAAATAAGGCAAACAATGAAATCCACCTGTTCTCATTCTGAATCAAGACATTTTCTTGAACTTGCAACTTCAATTGCATGAAGCAATTGAGTCAGAGGAGTTAGTCTTTGGACTGAGAGATGTAGCAACCAGAAAGGCTAATAACAAGTTTGAAAAGAGAGGGATGCTGCTTTTAGGTTGGCTAAATCCAGCACAATTCAGTTACAATAGGCATTAAAAAGCATGCTTTCCAATAAATCAATCAAAACTTCGAGTATGAGCAATATTAACAGCAATCAAAATGTTGCCAAAACCACTGCTCTTTACAAGTAATTAACCCAAAGTGCAGAAAATAGAAGATACAATAATGAAATAGGTAACAGGATAATAGGCAGGACTGTGCAATAGCCGGTTCTCTTCTCCGCTTCTGAGGTATGTTTCCTGTCCTGCTGTGGCTGTGCAATGACAGACGTGTTTCTAGGTCAGTGACAAATGTGAGCTGAAGTCACACACAAGTCCAGTGCTCACCCACACATCACTAATGAAGAGCACTCACCAGTGAGTGCGAGCAGGGAGGCCATAGGAAGTGCATGCAGGGAAGAGCCCTCTCATCTGAACACACAACACAAGGGACTGAGAAAGCCTCAGCACAGTAGCAGCAACCTCATGGGATCACATAGATGCTAAAAAGGCTTTCTGCCTAAGCTGTTATTTTGCAAACAGAAGCCATCATCTTTCCTCATTCCAAATGTACTGCAAGCCCTGCAGTAAGCACAATGGCTTACAACAGGAAAAATGAAAAATTAATGCAATATGCATACCTTTTCCTTTGTTTCAGCCTCTCCTTGCCATCCTATTGGATCAAGCACCTCAGCTAGGTCCTCTCCCCTCTGCAGATCCCCTTAGTGGTCATTTACGCTTTGCTCCATGCTGTATTTATCAGCAGCCCCAGGAAGGCTCCCACCTCCTCACTGCCAGCTGTGGGAAAGGCAATCAACCTCACCCAGCTCAGCCCAGAGCTGATTATCCACGATTTTCAGACAAACTTGCTCCTCAGAGTTCTCATTGACTTTTTGGTAAGTTTTGAACAGATGGGGTAGGTCAATAGAAATGTTTCTTTAGAGGAATAGAGCTAACACATCAAGCTAATGCACTTTATTTTTCTTTTTTAAACAATGCAACTTTAAAGTTTAAATTTAACATTTTAAGTAGGCCAGCCTTTACCTTAGCTCACACAAGTAAATATGCTACTTACACAAAAGCAACAGCCTGGGCAAATCCTCTACGTGATGAACAAAGTAAGCAGTTAACAAATAAGAACAGGAGAGTCCTTTAGGCAAGAAGAAAAGCTAATGAGCAGAGACAGCTCACATACCGTGCTAACTTCTGCACTCACACCAGTGTAGCTGTATTACCTTTGGTAAACTTGTTCCTAATTTACATCAGCACAGGAAAAATCAGCTCTCTTTTTAAATGGTTGAGATGCAACATTACTGTAAACTGTACACACTTGCCAGGGCAGTTTTCACCACGCTGTTTCAGAAGGTGTTGGTTCAGCTCTCTCTTTTAGTACATGGGAAAGCAGCCAATTCCCAGTCCTGCTTGCTTCAGAAACACAGGCTCCAGCCAGCTACCTCCAGCAGAAACAGTCCTATGACATAGCCCACTTTCTGCTGGGGGGACACTGGTCAGATAGGTCCTACCCGTTCTTCAGGTTTTGTGATAAGATCCATGACTTCCTCACATCAGCTTAGCTGGGGATCCTGCTATGCTCCAGCCTGGAGCTGCCGTGTCACTGAGCTGTGAGATACAGCTTTAGGCACAGCAAGAGCTTGACACAATGTCCTGGAGAGCAAAGCCATGTACTGACTCTGTGCCAAGTCACATCGTTTCATTTTCACTGCTGTCTGGCTGGCCAAGGCAGGCCCTAGCTCAGTCTGGATTCCCCTGTGCCACCCTATGCTGGACATGATACACCTATTTGCCAAAACTTCTTGTCCTGGTTTCCTAGCCATTTCCTGACCTTCTATTTCTAGACCAGAGCTCATGTTTCAATAAATTCCTCCTCATCTCCCCTTAATTTCTAACCTGTTGACCAATAGTTAAAGAAGGTAAAGGTCTAAATATACAGTTACATTCTTATAGATGATCACTAAAAGGCAGCACTACATTTAGGCACTTTTTAAGATGAGGTTGTAATGTGATCTCAGCACTCATGAGACAGGCTCAGAGTCTACATTTAAGAGAGGAAGGGATCCCAAACCTCAGTGTTTGGCTGAGGAGACATCAACAGGCACTACTAAGGTGCAGAGGTCCAGGGCAGCAGGTCTTGTAGGTTTCCTGCTAGCAAAACTGCTCGTTTCCTCCTGCTGCTAGCATATTTTCATGGCATCGCCTATACCACAGTAGAGAGCAGGCATGTTCTTTTGAAGCCAGGCCACTTCTTTACAACACCCATAGCTGGCCTATGCTTGAGATTTCCCAGCTAGGTCTTTAGATACGATCCAGCTCTTCTGTAAACCCAACACCTCCCCTTTGACACCACACTGGTCTCAGTGCTGCTCCAGTTAATCCTGCACAGCCAGCACATCCTGCACATGGTGCCCAGAAGCACCAGCACAAGGAACATGCCAGAAATCCAGCCCAAAGTTTGAAGGAACAGAGCAGCTCTGGCAATGAGCCCATCTGGGCACCCAGAGCAACACTGCAACAAAGCAGGTTATTAGCTCAGTGGCTGAGAACAGTATCCACGCTAGCGTAACTGTATATTTATTTTGCTTATCAGCACTGAGAGAGCTCATGCTATACTCCTCACCTATCATGGTTCAGATTATAATCCCTTGGTTTCCCTTAACAAAGCAGGGTCATGTCTTCTCTTGCACCAACTATTTTGTCTCCTGAAACTATAGCGCTGCTCTTAAACAACTGCATGTTCTGCGCAGACTAGCTAAGTGTTGTATGCTTTCTACCTTCCCACACGTCACCTTTTCTTTTGCTCCTGTGTTTATTTTGCCCACATTCCATTTTAGTGTGGGAATCAACATCCCTGGCAAGTACCAGTTCCTGTATCAAACCCCAACTGTTCCCAAGAAACTCATTTGGAGACCCTTCCACTGCTACCTAAGTCCTAAATTAAAGCATAACCCTGCACCCTGGATTTTAAGAGTCACTGGAGTGAGACAGCATGCTGCCTCTTCTTGCTCTTCAGGAGACAAATGCTTTGCCAGAAAAATTTAAGCACTAAATATGAAAAAGCCATCCCAAAATTTATTCTCAAAATGTCCAACAGAAACGCATCAGTAGATACTCAAAACTACAGAGTTCTTAAAAGTCATACATTCACAATGCAGAAACTTGACAATTGGGATGCCTTTCGCATGGCCTATGTAACAATATCCATCTTACAGTGTAAACAGGTACTGGTATGTTCTTACTTACAAGTCCAGCAGGAAAGGCACAACTCGGCATACAGAGATCATAAGCAAGAATCAGGTGCAACAACATTACACAAACTTTTGGTAATCTGCATTTTTGGGCCTTCCACAACGGAGACTGGACTTGAAGATTTCCTGCAGTCAACAAACTAGACTTCTTTCCATCGTTCAGTCCTTCCATACCAAATACTCACTTTCCAGTCTGGTTTAGATCCCATTACACATACAATTCCAGCAGACATTAGAGGAATAGTGAAAGGTCAGTCCAGTAAATCTTCAGGTACTTCCACTAATACATCAGGTTTTAGTTTCAGATAGTGCATGGAAGCATCTGCTTGAATCTCAGTTCATTACAGTGGTCATTAATAGAAAAATAGACACTACAACTACATAAGGAAAAAATGAGGTAGATAACTTAGAATCCAGATGACTATCCCAGCAACCTTCATACAATACACGTGGACCATTAATTACCATTTTTGGCAGAATGCAAATTCACAGACCACCAAGAAACTTAATGACCAGAGAAGGAATGCCATCCAAAAACCCACAAAACATTTAACCTAAACATGAATACTTCATATTTAAATACAGGTTTACACAGACTGATCTTCTAAATTACCCAAATGAAAATAAAAACAAAATCAAAAAGCCTCTTGCTAAGGAAACCAGTTCCCATGCCCAATTGCAACAGTCACCTGAGATTCCTTGCAGAGCTTTTAGACCTGACTTCCCAAGGCAAGCCTTCCCTTTCAAGAGAGGAAAAAAAAAAAGTATATACATACCCACCCATGCTTGTTTGGGGCTCTCGGCATTGAAATAAAACATCTAGGAAAAACCGCACATCTTTGGAAGTGGGAGTTTTGGCACTACATTTGAAGGACTGTCCTAGTAGTAGTATTAAATAAGCAGCAGTCAACAATACAGAGAATTAAGTCTTTAGGAGCAATGATTAAAGAAAAACAGCAACTTTCTCTTCTTAGAACTTCTGAGGCAGAAAAGGAATAAAACAAAATTGTAGTTTTTATAGCCATTATAGTAAAAAGTACATTCAGCAACCACACAGAGCCAAAAATCCAAACAGAAAAACTAGTCCTAAGAGGGTCCAGACATTCTAGGATATTTACCCGCATTAATAGTTTTCGTTTCTCATCAGTAAATAGAAGCTTTTCCGTCAACAGTAGGTTGTTTCCACTCATTTCAAATCCCCCAAGTATTTCACTCTAAACTAAGAGGTAAATATTCTAACCTTTGGAATCTCAAGTTGTAGAAACTTCTGTAAGGCTGTACACATTACTCACACGTAAGAACTACTTTGCAAGACCCGCATCTTTCCAAATAGAAGGAAATCCTATACTTTATTATTTACTATTTGCAAAGCAATATCATGATTGTACTCTGGGCAACTCTTACAAAGACAACCATAAAATCATTTGCACGTCAATAGGAAAATAGGAGGCTGAAGTGGAATCTCTTAAAAATATATGTTTGTGTATATATATTTGTTCTTTCTGTACGTCAGCTTCACTAGAGTTTTTAACTAACAGCAATTTTGTTCTCCTCCATGAAGTGAGGGAATTGGTGTTTTGGCACACTGTCTGCAGCAGCACCACTGGCCTTCTCAGTATCAGAACCAGTCCCAGACTGGGTCCCATCTATTTTGGAGACTGTAGCAGTATTTATTGCTGAACCACCTCCAATGGTGACTGGAAGGGTAGGTAAGCCACCGCTCTGGATCACCGAGATCTCGTTAGTCTTCATTGCTATGCCATTGCTGAGTACCGCTGCATACTGATTCCATACTGTGGGGTCAATGCTCACTGAAGGAGGCATCATATCCTTTGGAAACATTTCAGATACCTTCTTGGGATCATTCCCCAGCAGAGCCATGGGGTTATCAATCGAGAGCCTTCTTCCCCGCCTGGCAGAGTTATTCCACATGTGAGTGCCTACATGGACCTTCAAGAAAGGGGGACAAAAAAGAATAATTAATACTGAAGTTCTTTTATTGTATACTATAAGGATGCTGGGGAGGGACTCTTCATTAGGGACTGTAGTGACAGAACAAGGGGTAACGGGTTAAAACTTAAAACAGGGGAAGTTTAGATTGGACATAAGGAGGAAATTCTTTCCCGTTAGGGTGGTGAGGCACTGGAACGGGCTGCCCAGGGAGGTTGTGAATGCTCCATCCCTGGAAGTGTTCAAGAGCAGGCAGGACGAGGCCTTGGGTGATATGGTTTAGTGTGAGGTGTCCCTGCCCATGGCAGGGGGGTTGGAACTTGATGATCAGAAGGTCCTTTCCAACCCTAACTATTCTATGATTCTATGACTCTAGTTCTAATTTGCTTACAGTCAAGCTGCTCAAAGGAAGTCATGTACGCTCCATTTGCATTCAGGTAAGTATTTAAGCTGGCTAGTTCTTGTCTTTATTCTCTTCCTGGCATGTGTAAGATAGTCATTCTCCTGCCCAGCATCATCATGGTTCTCTAGAGTTTACTGCTGAAGTGCTTGTAGGACAGTATTTTTACACTTATAGT